TGTTTATTGCAGCTTTGTTCGCAATAGCAAAGAGCTGAAAACAACTTAAGTGCCCATCAACAAACAAATGGATAGAGAAGCTCTGGTATAATCACACAACGGAATACTACGCAGCATTAAAAACAAGGAACTCATGAAATATTATACAAAATGGATGACCCTGGAGAACATTATGCTGAGTGAAATATCTCAGTCACAAAAAGACAAATACGGCATAATGCCACTGTTATAAAACAGGACTGACATCATGGTTGAGAGAAGACAGAAAAGGAGGGAAGGAATGATGTATACGGCATTGAAACAGATGAGGGAGAGAACTGTTTAAAAGGGATGTATGAATGGCTATTCTTGTCATGACAGAAGTCCAGAGTGAAGGCTGCCTAGTGAAGTGGACTTGAGGGGAGGGACTACATAGCAATGAAAGAGTTTTTCTTTTCAAAGAGAAGAGTGAACTGGGGCGGGGGAGAAAAGTGCAACAATGAATGCCTGGAAACCCTAAGTCTCTATAAACTTTCATTAACATTAATAAGAAAAAAATAGAAAAAGAAAAAAGTGCCATTTTACTGGAATAGGATGGTGAAGGCCTCATTAGAGTGGGTTTACTGAAAATAAGGAGCTAAAGGATAGACAATGAGTATCTGTAACATTTGCAAAGATTTTGTCATAAAGGGAAGTGAGTGGTGTAGGAACGGAAGGAGATGTAACATCAAGAAAGATATGTGCAATCAGGTAGCCCAAGACGGTGATTTAGTCACTTATCCTGACTGCAAGAAGCCAACAAATTATGTGACAAAGACTTATAGACTAAACTGGGAACCCAGAACAGCAAGAGAAAGAATAAAAAATTACATGAGCACTGGACAGATGAAAAACTGAATGACAACTGAAGAGGACAATTACAGACTGCAGTGCCCTGTCAGCTGACTCTTGAGACAAAGCCCACTCTGAACAATGGGGCAAACTCACAGAACCTTGACAGGAGACAGAGAAACTTGTCAGGCTGGAGTGAAGCAAAGTGTACAGAGTACAAACCAGATCTGAGCAGGGGAAGTGTAGAAAGGGCTAGCACCGTGAGGATCCAGGTGAACCCAGAGCAGGAAGAATGCAGAGAATGAACACCCCTGTTCAACAGCAGTACTTGTGACCATTGGCTGAGTAGTGCTCTCTGAGTGGAAGATTCCTAGAATCATAGCCAGAGACATTCTACAGCCTCAGAAGCTGGACAGGCTCCCAACCTCCTTACAAGTGGGGAGAGAGGCCTGACCTCCAAGTCCACACAATGGAGAGTAGCCGGTCAACCCTTTAGAGACACGGGGATCACACACATTACCCCTCTTTCCTACCCTCTCCCTAGTGACCAATCTCCTGACCTGAAATCCACAGATACACCCCTCTAGAGTCAACTAATAACCAGAAGCTCATGATGCCCAGGTCAGTACTATCAAAAGTAATCAATATACAGACTACATTGATCCAACAACTCTTTAATGACGGAAGAAACCAATCTCCAACCTCAAAACTCACTGCCATTAAGCTAGAACCGACACACAGTTAATCCTCTATTGGGTTTCCGAGGCCCACCTTTCTACTTCTGGTGGATTCGAACCTCCAGAGGCATGGCTTTTGGGTTAGCAGTACAATTCCCCCTGGACTACATGCCACTACAGCTTGACCACAAATACCTAACGCAATACTGAAAAGAAAGAAAGAAAAACAAATCTACAATAAAATATTAGTTTTTAAAAAACAAAGAAAAATATGTGAAATCAAGAAAAAATATTATTTTATATATATGAAGTGTGGCGTCAGGATTGGTGGAAGATCTATTAACAATCTGTGTTATGCAGATGACACAACCCTGCTTGCTAAAACTGAGGAGGACCTCATACACTTGCTGCAGAGGGTCAAGGACTACAGCCTTCAGTGTGGACTGAGGTTCAATGTCAAGAAGACAAAGATTCTCACCACTGGACCAATTGGCAGCATCTGGATGGATGGCGAAGAGATTGAGATTGTTAACAGCTTCAGTTTGCTCGGCTCCACAGTCAATACTCTTGGCACCAGCAGTCAGGAAATCAAAAAAACGCGTTGCAATGGGAAAGTCTGCTGTTAGGGACCTCTCTAAAGTACTCAAGAGCAACGGTGTGTCTCTGGAGACTAAGGTGTATCTGATACAGGCCATGGTCTTTGCAATTACTTGTTATGCATCAGAGTTGGACAATGACTAGGGAGGATAGAAGGAAAATTGATGCCTTTGAGCTGTGGTGCTGTAGAAGAGTATTGACTATACCATGGACTGCCAAGAAAACAGATTCATCCTGGAGAGGGTTAAACTGGGCTACTCCTTGGAGGCAAAGATTCTGGCGCTTCGTCTGACATACTTCGGACATGTTGTAAAGAGGGACAGGTCCATGGAGAGGGACATCATGCTTGGGAGGGTGGAGGGACGGCGCAGGAGGGGAAGACCCTCTATGAGGTGGATTTATTCAGTGACTAGGGTAATCGAGATGAGTGTGTCAGAGGCAGTGCAATTGGCACAGGACAGAGCAGAGTTTAGGGCTGTTGTACATAGGGTCACTATGAGTCGCAAGCGACTCTATGGCACATAACAACAACAACACATATGCTGATAAAAATGAAAGGAGAAAAGGACCATGAGTGGGACTGGATGGGCTCCAAGGCATATGTGGAGGAGCTGTCTTAGATAGGAACTGGATTGTTGGGCCTCCGTAACACTCAAAGGTTTACTGAGCTGTTGAACTACCCTGAGATACTTCTTAGAAAAAGGAAGACCATTAATTGAGGTTACTAGGACACCACACAGAAACTCTAACACAAACCTGGCTTCAAGCAGCTGAAATGCAAATCTTTTTCTATGCTCTAAGAGTCATGCACAGACATATCCTTCGCCTCTTAAGTTGAGGGACAGGGGACATACAGAACGGAGGTTGAGGACCATGGCAACTGATGACAGAGGTAACTACCTCAGCACTGAACTTTCAAGTATCCAGGTTTAAAGACTAAAAATATTAACACTTAAAGTCACACATGTCTACCCAAGAACCCTCAACGCAAAAGGAAGATGGGAGTGGGATGATGTACAAAGACTTGAAACACCTGAGGAAGTTATTCCACTCAAAGCAAAGAGAGCCTCTGAGCTAAGTGCTAAGGTTCACTGAATGTGAATATATAAGGACGTCAACACAGACAATTCACACATTGAAGAACAATTCTAATTTTACTCAACTTTTCAGGAGCTCATTCATCAAAGAGGGACTGAACACAGATATTTATGTCTACCTTCAGACTAATAAACTTATGCTGCCTAGAACATCATTCTCCTACCATTTCCTAGGGCTCCCATCCATCCCTTGAGGTACCATCATCCCTGGCCACCCAGTTTAATAAAGTAACTCATACCTCCACTCCGACACTGTTCTTCCTAACGTGCACTGTAACCATTTCCCATAATGCTCGCTGTCACTGAGTTGGAATCGACTCATAGCTGAACGTGCACTGATTTCCAAGACTATAAATTGAATGGACGGAGATAGCCCATCTTTCTCCCACAGATGTGCTGAAGAATTGGAACCACCACAGAGAAATACCCTCTGGCTTAGCAGCATGATTTCCCACAGATTATGCGCTCAGAACTCTACGAGCCACAGTTTGATTTTTCTTCTCCTTGTTTCTCAGGTATTGTCCTTCAGGACATCATAAATTCTAGGATCTAAGAACGCATTTCTACCTCAACAAGGTGGACTGACACAGTAACTGTAACATGGAGAGATCACGAAGCCGGTGCAGGATTGAGGATAGTTCAGATCTGTCGTTCACTGGGTCACTAAGAGTCGTAATCAACTTGATGGCACCACCACCAACACAGGGAGCTCTGATAGCTTTGTGGTAAGAAGTTGCACTACCAGCCAAAAGGCATGGGGTACGAATCCATTAGCTGCTCCAGGGAGAAAGATAGGCAATCTCTTTCCATGTGACTTACTGCCTCTGAAACTGCTGGAGGGTCAGCTATGATTGGTTCCAATTCAGTGCAAAATCTCTACTTCGGGAGTTCTTGGGTGGCAAAAGTAATTATCCACTGGGCCACTAACCAAGACATCAGCAGTTTAAATAGACTCAAAGATGACCTAGAAGAAAAGACTGGAGGTCTGCTTCTAAAAAGTCACAGTCATTGAAAATTCCATGGAGCACAAGCCTCTCCTGAAACTACACACAGGGTCACCAAGCGTCATGCATCCCAATTGATTTGATAGCAACTAGTCTGGAAAAAGGGATTTTTTTTTTCTGCTTGTTTTGGGTTTTTTCCAACTTTGTTTTCAGTTTTGTTGCTAAGAAATCGTTTGCAGTCTTACCTCTCAGACTTCAGACTAAAAAGTAAGTCTAATGGCATTAACTGGCAGATCTCTTAAAAACATCACTGCAGAATTCACCTGGAAACAGCAGACATTGGAAAGGAAATATTTACACTAACCAGTGACCTTCAGAGAACTCAAACAAGCAGCGAACTTCAGAGAATGGAAGATCACAGGCCTATTGAATGCATACACAAGAAATCAAAGGCATTACTTCGTCCTTTTACTCAAACACCACTATACAACTCAAGACTTGGATCCTTCCTGGACCAGTGGGACCATGAAAATGCTTCTTGGGCTCTTTATAATAATAAACAATGCATGTTCCTGTTTTATTTGCAAAAATAATTAGCAACAGCTGCTACTTAACACAGACTTTTTAACAGAAAATATCTTCCATCCTGAACCCAAATATTTCAAAATTTAAAGAGCTGAACACCAACTGGATTTTAGCTCTGACTTCTTTTTTTTTTTTCTTTTTAAAGAAAGATACCAATATTCTTTTATCTGATATATTTTAAAGTGACAAAAAAAAAAAACCCTTTTCCTCAAAGGAGACAGCTGGACACATCTGTCCACCACACATCTCTAAAGTGAAGGTGAAATTTGATGCTTTAACAGTATACTTACATGTGAGGGCTCAGTTCATAAAAATTTCTATTGCGGTAATCTTCCACTTTCTCTGGGGAGTAAATGGGCAATGACCGGTACGGATTCACGGAGATAACCACACTTCCAATATACGTCTGCGAAAAGAAGAATAAAAACCACCCATGAGTGAACAGGATGTATTATTTCAAGATCTCGGACTCTGGAATTGTACTAGTTTATCCTTTTCAAAATAACACTCATTCTAATGTTTCGTTGTTCATCTTATATTTTTTTGAGAAAGTTTTACATCTTTAAAGACAGATGTTCTGAGTCTTAGCTATTCAGTGTTTTAATGGAATTCTCACAATTTAACAAACACATTTTTTTTGGTCACATAGTTTAGTAGGTTCAAAATCTGGATTTAAGGTGTTGGCTATAAAAGAAGGGTTACTTTGTCAGATAGAAATCGAAGTCCTTGTCTCTGAGCTTTGTGGCTTGTAGATGCTTGTCCATGAACGCTTTCCCCCACTCCCCCACTTTATTCGTTATCTTGTAAGAGAATAACTCCAAGCAGACCCTGCACTAAAACTGCCTCATTAAAGTAAAGACAACCCAGTCCCAACAAGGATTAAATCCACAGGCCGACCACACATATTTGGGCGGGGGTGGGATGGGTGGGGAGAACAATTCAATCCTTAACATTTCCACCCTTTGGGCTCTCAAAATTCATACCCTTCCCACATGTAAAACCTACTCATCCCATAAACATCTTAGCTTTAAGCCTAAAATCTCATCTCCTGAGACATCCAAATCAAATAGGATCTATCCTGGGTCAACATTCGTCTTCATCTTGTAAGCCTGAAATCTAGAATACAAGTGTTTCCAAATGACAAAGGCGGAAGAGGCAGGCGGCAGTTATTTCCATTACACATGGGAGAAAACTGGGGAGCAAAACGAATAAACCAGCATCAAGCAAATTCTAATCTCTGTAACATTCACTCTCAAGGTTTGAAAAGAATCCATTCTTCTCTGAGACATTCTGGGCAATGACCAGGATCTCCAGACTCTGGGTGTCCCTGGTCCTGGGCTACAGCTCCATCTTCAAGGCCCAGTGGGGCAGCTTCCTTGACTCTAGGAGGTATCCTCTGAGTCCCATCTGAGTAGCTACCTCATCCCTTCTGCCTGGTCCTGGTTTTCTGCCCCAAGGGCATGGGAACTCCACATACCAGTGTTAAGCATCAGTCCCATGCCCTCTCTTCCTAGAAACCACTGTCCCACCCTCTGGAACCAAGCTGGCGAAGATATGACTCTTTGAAACTTTCTTCTTGTTGCTACTGTTAGATGACGAGTCAGAACAGAACCATACCTGATCATCTCTGTCACCTTTCTCCAGCAGAGAGGCTGGCTGACTCAAATTGCCTGCCTTCGTGTTGGCAGCGCAACTCCTTACCTACTACGCCACCAGAGGCCTTTGAAACCAAGACATCCCTCTTTATCTTTTCCCTTCCAATAATTCTAAACTGGTTCCAACACTGGTAAAATTTTTAATAAAAAAAGATATATGAAAGGAAGAAAGCTAGATGTGAGGGTGGGAGAAATTCCAAATTCTATACCTTTCAAATGTCAGTCAACAAAATGTGGTATTTTTAGAGAAACAAGCTTTTCCAGTATTACCACCACTGAATGGTTTCAATGAGATTTGTACCTCATTCTAGAAAATGAAACTGAAAAGCAAACAAAGGAACAGTAGAACTGTTCTACTGATTTCTCCCCTCAATTTGGAAAACTTAAAGGTCCACATTTTTTTTTCATCTTCTAAGAAAACACTCATCCAATAAGAAAATAATCTTATTAGCAATAGGAAAAACTACCACTATAAAAGAAAACTTAGTTGTATGTAATTTTTCCAATTTTTTTTCCCTGAAAATTTATCACTACGATCCAATTAACTTGGTCTGACAAAGAATCACACCAAGTTTTCTAACTCATTCAATGTGGAGAGGATGCTCCCAAGAAAGTTTCCTGGTGCCTTGACAGTCCAGCTCCCCCAGACAAGCAGATGGGGGACATCGTGAGATTAACAGACTGCCTAAATGGGACTGGTGGTGCAATGATTAAGCATTTGGCTACTAACCAAAAAAACTGCTAGATGGATCCCAAGAGCCACTTCAAGTGAGACATGATGTGGCAGACTGCTTTTGTCGCGATCCACTCACCTCCTTGCTATCAAGTCAAACAGACTCACTGCTGACTCCCGCACTGGCTTTCCTAGGTTTAAATCATACAAGAAGAGGAAGCTCTGGTGGCCTAGTGGTAAGAAGCTGTGCTGCAATCCCAAAAGTTCATGGTTCAAATTCACCAGCTGCTCCAAGGGGGAAAGATAGGCAAACTTCTCCCTTCTGAATTAGCTGACTCTGAAGACCTGCTGGAGGGTCAGCGGTGGGTTGGTTCTGACTCGAAGGCACACAACAACAACTACTCATAGAGGAGACTGCCCATCTTTCTCCCTCAAAGTCACAGATGGATATGAACCACCACAGAGGATTTGCCATGCAAACTCCCTGTAAAGATTGTTGTTGTGTGCATCGAGCTGGGACTGAGTCATAGCTGACCCTTCGTGAGTTTTCAGAAGCAGTTAATCACATGGAAGGGGACTGCCCATCTTTCTCCCATAGAGCAGCTGGTGGATTTGAATTGTGTGCTTTTGGGTTCCCAACACAATTCCTTACTAGGCCATCAGAGCTCCCTCTGTAAAGACTGTAGCCTTGGTAATCTTACAGGGCAACTCCACTCTGTCCTAGAAGGTTGCTACTAGTGGGAATTGACTTGAGGACAATGGAAGCTAATCAATATACTAGCAGATAAAAACTTTATCTTTAAAAAGCTATTTAATATATTAAATATTTAATAGCTTTTGGTTGAAAAAGATCATTTTTTCTAATGGAAGAAATAAATCTGAATACCCTGAAGGTAATTTCTTGAATTTGGTAAATTTTAAAAAATAATATGTATTTACTGAAAGCAAAGAACTCCATTACCAAATTGCTCTTTAAAACCAAATTTTACAGTGGTTAATTCCTGATAAGAATTTGCCTCTGTGGCATTCTTGCATAGAGAACAATTTCTGCTGCCTCAAACCCAGGAGTGAAAGCCACACAAATAAGGTGCAAGCCTCTCTTTGTTACTCGTGATTTTTATAATTCTGAATTACGTCTGCTTCTCTCACATCCCCATACCCCACGTCCCAATTACCTAGAACAGTGTGTAACCCTTTGATGGTGTCCAATAAATAGTTAACTCATGACTTACTCACACTGGGTGTGTTCATCACTAAGAAAGTACACGATCCAAACCACTGACTGTCATACAATTATTCATGTACTCAAATATAATGTCAAGTACACTACAAAGAGTCCTGGTGACATAATAGCTCAATTCTCAAGCTATAACTGAAAGGTTAATGGCTGGAGTTTGTAAGAACAGTGTTAAGGGTGTGGAGGTGTATCATCAGATCTCCACTAACTTCACCAACCACAAAAGCACAAAACCAGTTTCTGTAAGGGTGATACGCAATCTTCACCTCTTGAACATGGTCTTGTTCACCTCTTGAACATGGTCTTGTTCTGTGACTTGATAGGCTCCCACCCTCCACAATCTAATTTTTTTTTCTCTAGCCTCACTTCTGATACCAACGCTCCCAAAGAACTCACTATTTCCATGCTGGGTTATTCCATTCAATGACCATTGGAATCAGGATCAAGGACAAGTCAGGAGACAGTTGTTCATTCAGCACAGCCTCTCCCCAGCCATGCTGACAGGCAGGCCCTTCTCGCTATGTCCCTTGGCCCTCTGGCCTGCTCAGTCAAGTGTTACAAAGCTTTTTCGGCTCTGCCCAAGTAATAGATGACAGTAGCATCTTCATCTTCCCTGCCAGTAAGTCTGCACCCAAAAGTACCCAGCTGCAGTTCCAAAGATTGAAAATGCCTGGCAAATCCCCACAGACATTCACTCCCCTACCAAGCACTCTGTGTTCTCAATCCATGGATTAGGAGCCCACAGTGCTCTCTCCTGGTTTATGTCATTTCTACCATAACCACCAATGTTGCCATCTCATCTTGCTGTTCTCGAGGAGAGGGTGAAACCAAGTTTCTCCTTGGAGGTTAGGATTTTGAAGCTCCGTCTCACATTCTCTAAACAAGTGGACAGGAGGGACCAGTCCTTGGAGAAGGACAACATGCTTAGAAAGGGACAGTGCGGGAAAGGAAGACCTGGGATCAGATGGATTGACGCTGTAACTGGGGCAATGGGGGGTAGGGGTGTCAGAGTCAGTAAGACTGGCTCAGGTCAAGGCAGGCTTTAGAGCTGTTGTAGAAGGGTCGCTATGAGTTGCAGGCAACTCAACGGCATATAACAACAGTAACAACAACTATCTCTGGTTTCCACAGAGGTCCTGGATCCTAAGATCTATACTCTCTTGCTCTTCTTTTTTTGATGGTAGGAAAATTCTCCATTTTCCCACTTCTGCTGTGTCGATACGGCAAAACTGACCAATGCTCAAGTTAAGCATCTAACACCACTCATTTGGAACAATCCCACCTGAAAGGTGTCATTTACCTTATTTACATTTTTAGCAAGCTCTTCAATCCTTTAGTGGGCCACAAACACCCCACATTTGCATAATGAGTATACCATGTCCTATGCAAGAACTCTAGCAGCCTAGCGGTAAGAAGTTACACTGCAATCCCAAAGGTATACAGTTCAAATGCATCAGCTGCGCCTCAGGAGAAGGATAAGCAATCTCCTCCCATGTGATTTAAAGCCTCTGAAAACCCTCTGGAGGACTGATCAGCTGAGTCAGTTCCGATGTGATGGCACACAACAACAATATCAAAAACCAAAACTTTTATTTGGAAAAAATGAAACAGAACAGAGAGCTCCTTCGAAGCAAAGACTGTGAGACTTCATCTCACTCACTTTGGGAGTGTTATCAGAAAAGCCCAGCTTCCTTGAAAAAGTCAGCAGAAGAAAACACTCAAATGACAGAAGGATACAATGACTACAACAAGTGGATTTGGGCACAGACGGCTGGGAGGACCAGGATCAGGTAGGGCTCCATCCTGTTGTACTGAAGGTCTCTATGAATCAGAGCTGACTC